CCAAAAGACAGGCACATGAGCTGATTATTTACAATAGGTAGATAGATATACTCCTTGGAGAGATCAAGGGAGAATAGAAGGGCTGTGTATGCACAGGAAAACAGCTCAGGGGGCAGAAGTGTATGGGAGGAAAGGACACAGGGAAGAGGTATCTATGGGGAGGAATTCGGAAGAGAGCTGCTGTATTGTGGGAAATTGTAGTCAATGTCATGAGACAAAGTATATGTGAACTGCTGTATCAAAAGTGAATTTGCTCTGTAAACTTTCACCCAAATCACCATAAAAATTAAAAAAAAAAAAAAAAAAAGACTAGAATTCTCTGTTCAGTGACAAGACTGAGTAACAATGATGGAACACAGATTCAAAATCAAGCGTGCCTGATTCCAAAGTCTGTATTTTCATTGTGCTATGTTGTTTTGTTAACTTTCTTTCCAGAGACTCATCCTGTTTATTCAACTAAATTTCAGTTTGCAGACCATATGGGATCATGACTAATATTTCTTGGGAATTATGTCTTGTTTCTTGTGATGGCATAGGAACAGTTAATCCAATGGAAAAACACTTTCATTTTAGTTCTTCAGAAACCCCACTCCCCAAAAAAGTGGGAATATAAAAACCTGATACTGAAAGCATTCATTTTCTATCATTTATCTTAAACTACACTGAACCTATTCAATACTTTTGAAGGTTCAGAAAATGCATTACAGAAAGAAATAAATAAATCATCTCAATGATTGCTTTAATGCACAACCTTAGCCCCATGGCATTGCCCTCATTTCCTCAGGGAAAGCTGTTTCTCCAACTTATTTCTTTTCAATTGATTGTTAGGATTTCAATCTCTTTAGACCTTTTACATTAGAGGAAGATACAAGTCAGCTATTTTTTTCTCAATTTGGGGAGTTTGGAGTTTATCACCCCTTTCCCAATTTAACTACCTCTAGAATTGAATTTCAAAAAACAAATTGCCTTTTAGGACAGAAAGTTCAAGATCAAAGTATTGTATCAGCATCCCACTCTCCAAGTCAGAAAAGGAGAGGTTAAATTTCTTACTTCTGCTAACTCTAGAATGGCCATCGAAGAAAGAGGATCTTGGTAAATTGATTTTTGAAAGGAAAAAGGAAGGCATCAACAAGGACATGTGTTACATTGTCTGTTAGGCCATCAAAGCCAAGGGTTAATTTATCTCCTGAAATTTTAGTTTGCTGTCAACATGAGGACATAGTGTGGCATGGCCAGAAGTTCTGCTGAGGTTTCGGTTATTTTACAGCCCAGGCAATTTCAAGCAAATTCATACTTTCAATCAGAAGTACAATTCAAGAGGCCAATATTTTACATATAGATGAAGCTAATGTACAGTGTGGCTACTGATGGCACTTCCCATCAGAAATGAAGATTCTGGTATATCTAAAACTCTCAACCCCTGGCTTTTAGTTATAAAAGACATTTTTATTAGCATTGTGAAATATAAACATAAACATCACTATACAAAAGCAGCCTGTTATAGTAAAACTTCTAAATATCTACTTACAGCCAAGAGACAACAGGAGGGTTTCTGAGAGCTAGAAAGGATTTTACAGAAGAAGGTAAGGATATATCAGAAATATTTGGATTTATTTTTCTATTTTTCTTAATTGGGAGGCAGCAGGTATAGTAGAAAGCTCTGGAAACATGCAGTGTCTAGCTCTAAGTTTATTTTTTTTAGCTGTGACCCAAGGTTTGTCATTTCACCTCTGTTCCTCATTTTCACTTTAATGAGAGATGGACTAGACGACCTGTCATCTTCACTTTCAGCATTAATTTCATGTGAATTTGGTATTCTCATTTTCTCCTAATACTGAGTTTAGATTCAAATAGAAAAATCAAATTGTTACAACTCTCTTACCCTAGTCTTGCTTAGCAAGTACCACAGACTCAAAGATTCAGTGATCTTTTCCTGAGCTGGAGCTTGTTACTTATTTCTACTGTGGCCTTTAAGGCTTGATCAACATTCCGACATGTTCTGTTTCCATAGGCAGAAGCAGAAGTGGGAGGGAGGATATAAAACTATCTATACTGAAAAAAAGTATCAATACTGAAAATTCAAAATCATCTCCCTAATTCAGTTGACCTTAGTTTTTGAAGATTTTTCTCTGTGGGTTTTTTATATCAGTGCTCTTCTGTGGGTTTTCTCTGCTTCTTTTGAAAAAAAGAAATCTGTCAAGCCCCATCACTCTAGAGGGTAGAGCTTGTTTATTAATAGAATATGTCTTAGCTGCTTCCCCTTAGCGAAAGATTATTTTACAATCTGAATTCAGAAAAAGGTGACTTAAAAAATGACATTTATATATTCCTTACTATGTGCCAAGTACCGTGGTAAGTACTTTGCACACATGAATGCAATTATCCCTCAGACAATTCAATGGCATAGATACATATATGCCTTACTGTCCAAATCTATTTCATGCCTGAATTCAGTGGTTATCGGTTAAGAGTTCAATGAACAAGTCTAGATGGCCAGAAAAACTTTATCTGAATCTACTTTAGTTCTTTCATTGGAACTGTGAATAGTCTGAGTTTAAGGAGCAAGTGACATCTTAATAAATGCAAATCCATTTGCTTCCTTTGTTGAGGTAGAGAGAAAGATTTCAGTCAGTCAAGTTTATCGATACTATTTTCTGCATTTTATAGACAAGAAAACTGAAGCACAAGCAGATTAAATGAACTGCCTGAGGTTTCATAGTGAATTAAGTGGTACAGCCAAAACTCTTGTCCCGGGTGTATGGCTATAGAGTCATTATTAAGTGTGTGAGACTGCCTGACTAAACTTTCTTTTCCTCACCCTTGTGGTCTGGCCATATCCTCACTATGATCTTTCTGGGAATGTCTTGGGGAGGTAAGCCAGAGTTTTCATTCCACTTTTTGAAGAACTCAATTTGTTAACAGACTTTCCTGATACACTCTATTCATACCAGTTAAACAAATTTTAGATAATGGACCTTGCTGCTTTTTGTACAGTTTAAGTAGACTCACATAGCATGTGGAACACTGATATTCTATTTAGTCACTTCTTCCATAATTTCTGCCACCATGGATAAATAAGTGATCCTTCCCTCTTAAAACCCACAGTCAGTGAGAGTCATGCTCTATTTAGTCTTTCAGTATTTCCGAAAGTATTTACTGGGTGATGCTGGTAATATTTTTCCTTAAGAGCTCAGGCAGTGTCTTCCATGAAATTGAAACAATGAAATTGTGCAAGAGTGTGGGCACACTGTACTTTCTTGAGTTATTCTCATACATGCAAGCTGACTCTGTTCCAACTAGAGAAGAAGAGGATATATTCAAATTTGCAGGTCAAGTAAAATTGTGTTTGTTAGACTGACAGTTACTATCTTTATAAATGTTAAGTGAAAAAAATCAATTCATGTTTGATTTCAAGTGTTCACATAGCAGCAAGGCTAAGGCATACATATGACTAAAAGTACATTTAATCAGCAAAAAAGAAAATATACTTCCTTGGAGGACTTCCAGATGATAAGGTCCCTGGCTATGCCCGCCATTAAGAGTGTCTACTTCCAAGTCACTATGGGGTGAAAATGTCCAAGATCTGCAGTAGTATGCCAAGAGGCCCAGGAAGCTACACTTAAACATGGCACATAGTCCTGGATTGCCACTTCAGTTCAAGGACATTAAAAATGTCATTGTTGTGAATTACAATGTAAAAAGCACATGAAGTTCAAAACAAAACACTGACACTTAAAATGTCAAGGTGGAATTTCACAGTATGAAGCTAGTTGCTCTACTGATTAAGAATCCTTTGGTAGAAGGGTCTGAGAGTCAGTGCTATAAAGTGTTCAAGAAGTGTTGAATTCAGAAGCTGAATCATGATCCATCACTTACCAGCTTGTGACCATGGATGAGTCACTTCCCCTCTCAAGGCCTCAGGCTGTGCAAAATTGGATCAGATGACCTCTGTGGTCCCAATGTTCCAATTCCAAATATCCCAAAGTTTCAAAAGGCTTGTGATTCTAACACATTGCTATTTTGGACCTCACACTGCCTAATTCACCTGACTTCCACATTGTTTCTAATAGATGCCATATGTTTACTGAGGATAGAGGTTTCATGCTATTGTATTGTTAGGTGCTGTTGATTTGATTCTGACTTACAGTGACCTCAAGTGACAGAGTACAACTGCCCCACTGCGTTTTCTAGGTTGTAATGTTTATAGGAGCAGATCGTCAGGTCTTTCTTCCACAAAGCCACCAAATGGGTAGAAATCATCAAACTTTTTGGCTGGTAGCCAAGTGATTAACAGTTATGCCACCAGGGCTTCTAAAGGTTTCATAACATACCACTGTAAAATATCCCTTGAAAATACAAAGGACCTGTCCAAATCTAATATGCTAATAATATTCCACTAATTAAGCTATTAGTGGAATATTATTAGCATATTAGATTTGACTATTGCTGCTCACCCAGTGAAAGCTAGCCAATACTTTCAAATGTAAGAAATACAACATACGAATTAGTTTAACCAGTATCTAGATTTTATCAAAACTTCTACTTGTTGCCTCTGGGTCATCAAATATTCAGAGATGACTTTACTGATATAAAATTTTGTTTTAAATTGAAGCAGCCTCAAATGCTTTTCCTCTTTAAAGAAGTAAGACTAGATCACATAAGTGACATAAGTGAATCTTACTAAAAGACTCAGTGGTAAAAAATCATTTTATGCATACATACAAATTTTACAGTATATATCACCTAAACATTTACAAATAATTCTATAAAAATGTAAGGAACGTTGCCATATTTTATTGTGATGTATACAATGTAAAAAAAAGCCAGCGCTTTCACATAATTTTTTTAATATAGAATCTAGAAAAATTATAGATGATTAGCAACATCCATTTCTTCATAGCTCATCATCACCTATGAAAATCTTATTTAAATGAGTTCTTAGAAAAAAGGCCAGTGGCTGACGGGAAGGTATATTATTACCAAAGTAGGCTCTGATTTTAAAGGCAAAAGCATCATAGAAATCTATTTGTAATCTTCTGAAAATACTGCCATCAAAGTCTCAGGTCTATTAGTAAATCAAGCCCCTTTATGACTGATGCTTGATATTGCTATGAAATACTGAGAGATACACTCTACAATCTAGGAATTGGTGTCGCTGCCATTGCTATGCTCTCAATTCCACACTCATCTGTTCCTCTACGGATCCTGAAGTAGCCATCCTCACCCCAGCTGGTGCCCCAACTATTTTTAACAATCCAGTAATCCAGTCCAGAGGCTGAGTCAGTGCCATAGCCAACAAGCAGAACTGCATGATTAGTCAGCTCAAAAGGGCTGAAAGGATCTCTGAGACCAGTGTGGTGGTAGATCCCCTTGTAATAGTGGAGGAAGTCACTATAGACTTCAAAAGAAACTGCCATGGGCCCATGATTGACCAGCTCAAGCTTCATCAGAGCTTCATTGCAGCCCCCATAGAAACCTCCCACATAGTGGTAGTCAGAGGTGTAGTAACGGAGGCAGTCCTCCTTCACTCTGCATGGAGAATCATCAGCTTTGTAGGGGAAGCAGGCCTCTTCCACTAGCCCAAAATCTTGAGCATACTTTCCTGCGATGAGATATGGGAAGCCACCTTCACAGCCTGAGGACAAATAACATGCACAGTAATTATCCTCCATCAGAAAGGGATATAGGAGAAATTGTCCATTTACTATATTTTCTTCTCTGTTCTAGCTAATTCTTTAAGTTACCTATGAAAGTTGACTTAGCTTAAATGTCACTTTATTCATCCATCCATTTAGCCATTTAGCAAACCCTGCTATCAGCCTCATCCTTTAATAGACAGTTATTCAGCACCTAGTATAGAAGGAAGCTATAGCATAGGTGGTTAAGCAGGCAGGCTCTGAAGCCCAACTGAAAAAAGAAAAAACAAAAAACCCACGCCATCTAATTGATTCCAACACGCAGTGACCCTTTTGGACAGAGGAGAACTGCCCATAAGATTTCCAAGGCTGTAAATCTGCATGGAAGAAGACTGCCCCATCTTTCTCCCATGTAGTGGCTTATGGATTCAAACCTCTGACCTTTAGGTTAGCTTTAATCACTATGCCACCAAGTTCAAATCCAAAACTGTGTGAACTTCACTTTTTTGTACTTCCATTTTCTTATCTGATAATCATAGACTGTAATAGTACCTCCCTTGTAGGATTTAATTAGTTATTCTATGTAAAGACATAACATAAGCATTCAATAATGTTAGCTGTTACTATTAATATATAGCCAGACATCATGCCTAGGGTCTTTCTCAAAAAGTTCTCTCTGACTACCCACTGCAGAAATCAGGCCTTCATCTCCTTCCTCTAGTCCTGGCCCTATTACATACCCACATACTCTATACTTTTTCTTCATTGTCCTTCTCACTTCAATGTCTAGCAATAATTTCATTAGCGCTTGTTGTCTCACCTACTTTGGTCATGTTGTCAGTGAGAACCATTCCCTGGAGAAAGATATCATGCTTGGTAAAGTGGAGGTTCAGAGAAAAAAGGGAGGGCCTTCAACTAAATGGACTGACACAATGGGTGCAATGATGGGCTCAAGTATAGCAAGGATTGTGGGGCTGGCATAGGACTGGGCAGTGTTCCATTCTGTTGGACACAGGGTGGCTGTGAGTCGGAGCCAACTCTATGGCACCTAACAACAATAACAATAACACTCACAGTGAGCTTCATGAGGGCAGGGACTATCATGATTCATAACAGCTTTCAAAGTCTAGCAATCACAGTGTTTTATTTTAAATAATTATTTCAAAAGAATGAAAGACTTACTGATGAAAATCACTCCTCATACCTGGAATGGCAGTTTCAATGGTGAGCTAGAAAACTTTATCATGGTCATGTCTAGGATCTGTAGCAGAAAAATTTTAAATAGGAACATTTCTCCCTGAACCAATTCCAACTGGGCCTTCTGAATACATTACATATGACCTGTTCTGAAAGCTTAATCACACCAAAACCAAACCAAATTTACTTCCATCGAGTCGATTCTGACTCATAGTTATCCTTATTGAGTTACCAATGCTGTAAATCTTTATGGAAGCAAGATTATCTCATCTTTCTTCCATGGAATGGCTGGTAGGTTCAAACCACTGACCTTTTGGTTAGCAGTCAAATGCTTTAAGCACTACATCACCAGAGCATAGCATTTAAAAATTCTCCTAGAGGTTGGGCAATCTACTTCCGTAATGATACCACCTCAGAAACCCAAGGAGGGGTCGCTATGAGTTGGGTCTGATTAGACAGCACATAACAACAACAACAACAGAGATAAATCAGTGTTAGTATGCCTTTAACAGGAGTGAGGTTTGGAGTGAGATTTCAGAATTGAAACTCTATTTACTGTTTAGTTATGTGATCTTCAAAGTATTACAGAACTTCTTTGTGCTTATTCCCTGTCTATAAACAGTAATTACACCTACTTCTCAGAGTTCTGAGCATTGTTAGGTTATGAATATAAGAGGGTGCTAAAATTCAGACAGGCACTGATGAAGGCCTGATTCAGATATTTCTGGAGTGGGTAGTCAGGAAGAACTTGTTTGAGAAAGAGCTTAGGCATGGTGTCTGGCTATTTAGCTGGGATAGTATAATGAATTCCATGAGAACAATTCATTAATAAATGATGGACCAGAATTTACCTCTAGGTTTTCTGACTACAAACACTGTGTTCTTTCCACTCTACCATCCTCTGTCTTTGCCAGCTATACACAGGTAATGCCATGGAGTAGGGTTTATAACACATCACTTACCTTGAGCATACTGGCTGCAAGACACGACCTCCTGAGGACTCAAGATTGGGGTCTGAGAATTGTTGGTTAGTATTCGAATTCTTGCTTCCAGCATACCCACAGAAGCAAATGAATAGCAGCTCCCACAAGATGCTAATGATAAAAAAAAGATACATAACCAAAGAGACCTTTGAAGCATGCATAGGAATCATAGATAAACTTGAGCAGATCAGGTAACTAGTATATTTCTATTGATGCTATTCATAAGGATCAGCACAATATATAACATTCAATCAACAAACATCATTGTGCTTACAAGCAAACTTATAGGAGCTTTCCTTGAGAATATTTTAAGAACTTAAATAAATAATAATAATAATAAAACCCTACTAATTTCTAAGAATCATTGAACAGCATTCTTGATAATGAAGAAATGATTTCCATGTGCAACAGTCAGGCACCAGGTTGAAAGAAAACTATGGGGAGATACATATGGGTTGAGCTTTTAAATACCTTTACAGCATCATTTTCCAGTGTGTTGAGTAGAATTAACCCCAAAAATACCTCACATGTGGATAGGTTGTAGAGAGTTGTATTTTAGCAATGTTAAGGTGATAAAATATGACAAAGCCCAAGAAAAACAACAGATTAATTATAGTGATGGATATAGGATTTAAAAAAGGCAATAAGGAAGTGAGGACATGAGGCAGATGTTGTTGTTGTTGTTGTTAGGTGCCGTCGAGTTGTCTCCGACTCATAGCAATCCCTTGCACAGCAGAACGAACCACTGCCCCATCCCACGCCAGCTCCACGATCCCTGCTATACTTGAGCCCATCATCGCAGCCACTGTGTCAATCCATCTCGTTGAAGGCCTCCCCCTCTTTCATCGACCCTCCACCCTACCAAGGATGACATCCTTCTCCAGGGAATGGTCCCTTCTGAGGCAGATGAGGGGTAGTGAAATGAGAAAAGATGGGTTCTGATGTCTGCTATAAGGAACCCTAGTGGAGCAGTGGTTAAGTACTCTACTGCTAACCAAAAAGTTGGCAATTTGAACTCATGAGCAGCTCTTCAGGGGAAGATATGGCAGCCTGCTTCTGTAAACACTGTTGTTGTTGTTGTTATGTGCCGTCGAGTCAGCCCCGACTCATAGCGACCCCTCCTTGGGTTTCCGAGGCAGTATCACTACGGAAGTAGGATTGCCCAACCTTCCTTCCGAGGAGTGGCTGGTGGGTTTGAACTGCCAGCCTTCTGGTTAGCAGTCAAGTGCCTTAGGCACTATGCTACCAGAGTTCCTACAGCTTTGGAAATCCTATGGGGCAGTTCTACTCTGTCCTATAGGCTCCTACTGCTGCTGAGTCAAAATCAACTTGACAGCAATGGGTTTGGGTTTTTGGTAATATCTGCTGTACAGCTATGGTCTCCTTAAAATTTCTCCCAAGAGAAGAGAGGAATGTGAGAAATAGTTGGGTGTTTGAGAGGGAGAGAGGAGAAGAAAACAGCTTTATTAACATATGGATACTCTGGCAAAGATAAAATATATTTACTTAAGAAGCATCTGCTAGGAATATAGTTGCTATCTCAAGAGAAAAAAAAATATTGTATTAGAAGGTAAATTATATGAAAAATATTTTTCTTGTTTTTTCAGAATACATAAAGATCAAAGAAATATACATTCCAAAATATGATATCTATGTAACAATACTGGGACTTTTACTTATTCTAATTCTAGAAAGAATTTAGTATCTCTTATTATATTGCCTCTTTTTTGTCTGCCACTAATAGAAATTCTACATGAGGATATGCTTGTATCAAGTCTAAGATATTGCTATTAAATCCAGTTATAAACAATTACTACATTATTCATGTTACCAATATGTTAATTACTAAAGTATTTAAATGGTAAGCACTCCTTTATGCATGCAAAATAAGATTTATGAACAGTTATACAATTAAAAAAGACTCATTGTTCGTAAAGAGAAGTCTTTGTTCTCTGCAGTAAATCTGAATTTAGTAATTATGTAACTGCCTTCATTAGACAGAAGCACCTTCAAAGGAACACTATGCATTCAACAATATTACCAAAGGCACTGTTTTCCCTTCATGGCAACTTTGATTCATATCCCTGCTGAGTAAAAAGGAAAGCCAGGGCATGGCATGTTCAGCCTCCAACAAAACTCTATTTGATTTACTTATATGTTATTTTCCACAAACTAAATTGTGAATTTCTTTGATTGTTCACAGAAAATGTCTTTTATTCATCTTGCTACCTGATACAGTGAGGAAACTCCCCAGATGCTTATAGAATGAACAAACCAAGGGGAAGAGCAAATGAATAAATGTTTACTTCCAGGACATACAGGGAATTCAATGGAAACACTCATTTGTTCCTAACCCACAGGAAGTCAGAAGCCCTAGGTCCCAATATGAAGCTCTTCCACTTGTTCAACAATACAGCAAGATCTTGGACCTACAGTCTACTAGAGCCCTAATTCTCCTTACTAACTTATATTTTTGATGTTTCCCAAAATTCACCTCCTGAGAATCTCAGGTTTATCCATATTACATATTGCTTTTGCTGCTGACAATCACCTAGGGGAGGGGCCTTGGAATTAATCTAGTGTCCAAGCTATCGACTTGACAATGAGTACACTGAGATTCAGAAAAGAGTGGTGGTCTATTCAAGGTCATACAACTCATAGGTGGCAGGGACCTCTTGCATAAGTGTCTCTTAATGCAGGACTAGGGTCCTTTTCAGTTTATAGGTCTATGTCTACTTCAAAGGTCTTTCAGATTTTTTTAACTTATAATTTTGTTTTCAGAAACCATCCAAATAATAGTGCCCTTAAGATCCCTCTTATAGAAGGGCAATGTACCAAATGTGAGTGACCAATATGGCAGCATTGAGGATGAGAAAGACATAGAGAGGTACATGGGAGGTACAGACAACAAAGATGAACCCTTTTGCACATACAGTACTGCATTGTCCATGAAGGCAAACATGGGTATATGGGTGGATAGATGGGTAGACAGGCTGAACAATTAGGTATGTCTATGAAATGGGGAGTGTATCCAAGAACATATATAGGGTTGGCAGACAATGGTCCTGTAAGTTTATATGAATAATCAGAATTCCCAGGTGTATAGTAGAGCTGACAAGGGGCAAGGTTGTGGTCACTGGTCACAGTCAGCTACCTAGAGGGACCGAGTAGTTGAACCTGCGGGCTTGGGGCCATAGTCGCAGGGGACATCAAGCTCAATTGGCATAACATACTATATAAAACATTGTTCCACCTCCTACTTTGGCGAGTAGCGACTGGGATCTTAAAAGCTAGCAAGCTGCCATCTAGATGCGACGATGGGTCTCTCCTTGTCCAGAGCAAAGAAGAATGAAGACAACCAAAATTCATGGAAACAATTAGTCCTAGTGACTGGTATGGTACACCATCCGATCTGCAGCCTATATGACTATGAGAACAGAAGAACTAGATGGTGCCCGGCTATCACTGTCATCCACTGGAAGGGGATCTATGTAGGAGATCCTAGATAGAGAGAACAATGTGGAACAAAACTCAAAATCATTTGGATAAAAAAAAAAGGGGGGGGGCAGCCAGGTTTGCTGGTCTGATAGAGCCTGGTAGAACCACTGAGACTATGGCCCCTAGCTGCCCTTCAGGTTTGGAATTGAACCCACACTTGTGGTTTCCAGCCAAACAGAAGATAGGCATATGAGTTGAACATATACCTGAGGTAGATACACTCCTTCGAGAGAACAATCATTGAGAAAGAGGGCTGCTTATGCACAGGGAGACAGCTCAGGGGGCAAGAGTCCATGGAGGGATGGACACTGGGAAGAAGTAACTATGGGGAGGAAGTGGGAGGGGAGCTGTTGCATTGTGGTAAACTGTGGTCAATGTCATGAGACAGAGTATATGTAAACTGCTGTAAGGAAAGTGAATTCGCTCTGCAAATCTTCACCCAAATCACAATAAAAAAAAAGAAAAAAAGAAAAACGATCCCTCTTACAAATAATGAAATGTCAAAGAACTTGTTGAGAGACAGTAAACAATCAATGCTAGTGCTATTTTCATAAGAGGTGAAGGCCTTATAATAAAGAACACATCTCAACAGAGTTTGGAAACTACCCCATTTTGGTCATCCAGCTTTCTTGGCCTACAGAAGCCATGTAAATAATCTCTCTGGGTATTAACCATAAAACCCCCATTATCTGACTACCCAGCACTGTGGAAAGGACAAGCCTTAGTACATTCAGGGGCTCAGAATGTGCTCTGTTAACAGAGAAATCACAGGAAGATAACCTTCCTCAAGCCTCTGACTTTTCCAGAAGAATGTGTCAGCTGTCAAGGTAATTAATGCCTCTTTTCAAAAGGGTCAGAGTCTAGATTCTAAAAGAACCATTATCACTTAAGAAGATTAGAATGCAATAAAGAAAAACAAGTAGATATGGCACAGATGGAGTTCTGCATTAATCAGATTTCCACAATCTCAAATGGACAATTTGATTTCTATATAGCTTAACTATCTTGAGCTACGTTTCCAAAAGTGGCAAGCACTTGGATGTAGGGCTTGCCGTAAGGAAATCAGAATTCTATGTGAGCAGGGTAAGTCACTTGACCTTTTAGGCATATTGGGTAAATGAGTAGAGTGGAGTAAGAAAGTTTAAGGTCCCTACCTTCCAGCTCTAATAACATAAATAGCATCAAGACTTAAATAGAAGAGATTTTAAACATTAGCAATGTACCCTGCACTCCCTAATGTGATTCACAGGAGACACGCCTCTTCTCTCTTAAAGAGAACAAAGAAAGTCCATTTCATCCAATTTCCTAGTTTCTTTTCCCTCTCACACTTCTTGTAAACTTAGTTATATGCCCAGTACATAAAGCTGCTTTCAAGTTTCATTTGCCCTCCCAATATTTCTGTCTTCTTTAACTTGATTTGTTCTCTGAAAAGAGCAATATTGTGAATTCCTTTAACTGAGGCTAATTCTGAATACGGAGTTATGCAGAACATTGGTATTCCTAAAGTTAGTGAAAATTTCCAAGTAATCCAGTTAACAGGAAGAGAAAATGATGAGTTATTTCCCAACCTAAAGTACAAAAAACCAAAAGGAAGTCAAAAGAGGAACCTTTAACTGCATTATTTTCTCAAATATCTGACAAGATATTAAAGATAAAGGGTCAATTTAAAAGCATTAATCCATCAAAGTTCTCTGCTTATAAGTTGTCTATATGTGTACAAATCATGTTTATAATACTGCAATAATACAAAACATTTCAGACAATAATAGCTTTTATCTGGAGTACTAGAAAACTAGTGTCAAAGAATTTGTTGTCAGTAGTTCTAATTTCCTCTTCCCAAATTATTGTCTCATATCACTAGTCAATGATACCTAGCAGGAAGTGAATGTGGCTAAACTTTTCTATTTTCTATGATGCTCCCATTCAGTTCTTAAAATACTTTATAAAATCAGTAATCATACTGTATTTTAATTCTTTGCTTGCATGTCTTATTGAACTATCAATCTCTAGGAAAAGTTTTTGTGTATACTCACTCTGCAATTAAAGAAAAATTCCAATACATTTGAAAACAAAAACAAAAAAAAAAAATAGGCATAGAATGTTTGATGATTGAGTAAACTTTAATCCTCTCTTCACAAAAGAGAAGGAAGAGACAGATCTCAGAATTCAAATTTGTCCAAAGCTGAAAATTTTTGGAACTACTGGTACCAAGGGAAGATTAAGAGCTCAGACCCCTGGTGTTAGATGAGTGATAGGAACACGTTGCTGATGTCTTGGTTTGTCAAAGTGCTGCACATTCAGAATGCTCTATACAACTTCAGTGTTGAGAAGTGAGAGAGGCTGGTTATCACTGACTTTTTAGGAAAAGGGGAGAACATATTTATAGTCCTCTCAGGAGACACTACTCCAGATAGCAATTACTACACCTATTTTATAGTAACAAATCAGTCATGTATACTCTAATTATCATCAAAATGAGTTTTGAAGTTATAAACCTAAGCAATTGCACATATGATTTTCCAAGTCATTGATGGCTAAAACTTAGAATAATGACATCATTTGCAGTTCAGAGGAATTAGGGTTTTTAAGTCAACTCTTATTGTAACAAATTTCTAAAAATAACTGGTAAAATGCAATAATAATGGAACTTTTGGCAAATCTAGTTTTTGCCCCCAAGACTAATCAGGAAGCCAGGCTAATACTTAGCATTAAATATCGTATTCTGGTATAAATTGAATTGAAAGGTTTTTATACAGTTAAAAAATATATACTTTATAAGAAAAAAAAAATTAATGACCTATTTTCTGGGCTTATGTAGTAATTGAAAACTATGTGATAGAAATGTGGGCACAGAGTAGGAAGCAAAGGATTCCAAAAACCACTTTCAGAAGAAAGTTTAATTTTACAATCAGAGTCAAGGGTGTTATTCCTAGCTATAAGCTCTTTAAAGTCACATTTAAAATAGTATATAGCATTTATATTTGTTATGGGACTAATCACTGAATGCAATTCTTTGTTTCTGTATCAATCACTCCTACTAGGAGAACATATGAGTTTTTTTTTTTCTGTCTATGATACTTTTTTTTTTTTTCTGTGATTTAGGTGAAAATTTACAGAGCAAATTCCCACTTCCTCCCGACAGTTACCTCTTCCCTATGTCCATCCTTCCATGCATTCCTGCCACCTTAGCTGTCTCCCTGTGCATAAGCAGCCCTTCTTTCTCCCATGATTGTTCTCCAAATGAGTTTGTTTTACATGTCCACTCTGCTTATTGACACTAGCTACCTGGATCATATACTGAGAAGCATTCTTAGGAAATGCTGAGCTCAGTTATAAAGATCATCTATTACCAAAGTTTGCCATGGATACCAAAGGAAGAATTTATGGTCATACTATATTTTTCATTTCTCTACTAAAGTGGATTATGCCCATTTTATCTCTTTGTCCCCAGAATCTATCCAGGAGCTTGATAACAAATGTTCAATAACTATTTCAGAATGGATTAATAAAAAAGTTAAAAAAAAAGTTTTTTTACCTTGGTTTCGAACAGGGCTAACAAAGTTCATATCGTGAACATTTCGCCAGTCCCAAGATTTGGGCAAATGTAAAATCTTTCGTCGTATTTCACTGGTCAGTGGTGCCGGTTTGGGCCTAGGATAGAAATAAAGTTTGACATCAATGCATTCTTTCCTTTGAGGATGATTTCTTAACTAATTCCATGATTTCAACCACTTGGCTAGAATCCAGATTCAGCACCATAAAGCACTTGTCTCATGAGTGTTTCAATGTATCTTGAGCTAAATTGTTTGAACAGCTTTCATTATCAATTTCCTTTTCAACAAATAGTTCTTTTCTTCTGTGTAATGACATTGGCTCAGTACATAGTTATTCAATCTGTATGCTGGGCAAATAAATCCAAGATGCTGGACTACATGAAGAAGAACATGGCATCAGGATTAGAGAAAGACTCATTAACAATCTCTGATAGGCAAATGGCACAACCTTGCTTGCTGAAAGCAAAGAGGACTTTGAAGCACTTACTGATGAAGATTAAAGACTAGAGTCTTCAGTATGGATTATACCTCAATGTAAAGAAACTAAAATCCTTACAACTGGACCAATAGCAACATGATGATAAATGGAGAAAAGATTAACATTGTCAAGGATTTCATTTTACTTGGATCCATAATCAACACCCATGGATGCAGCAGTCAAGAAAACAAATGACATACTGCTTTGGGCAAATCTTCTGCCAAAGATCTCTTTAAGGTGTTAAAAAGCAAAGAAGTCTGTAAAACGGGCATGCAGGCTGCTTCATCTAGCCTCCTCTAACTCCACAAATGGGGGAAAGATCAGCACAAGGCTGATTTCTATGAGGTGGAGATCAGACACGTAACCTCTTTACCAATTCTGACACCAAACATCCCTACAATGGCACTCCCTACTTCTCTACTGGGCTTGATAATTCATTGCAATGGCCACACAGAACTCAAAGAGAATACTCACGATTATTGGGATTATTAGGGAAGTAACAGGTTATATAATTCAGGATCAGGAATGACTCAGGATATAGTTTCTTCTCAGCTGTGCTGCAAGCATGCTTTTCTCTGGCCTTGGCCTCTTGGCCCTGCAGTCCCTTGGCCTCTGCCCTGCCCAGGTAAGTGTTACAAAGCTCTTTTAACTCTGCAGATAGGTCCCCAGAGAGGGATTCCACTCCACCAGCAAGACTCTTGTCTGAAGGCACTCAGCTTTCTTGTTCTCTGGGCCATGAAGCCCACCAATCTGTCTTGTGCTAGTCTCTTGGCTCTGCTACCCCTGCTGCCGCCATTTCTCTGCCACTTTTTGTCACTGTCTCTCCCTGTGCCAGCAAAGCTTTACAGTTCTCTATCTCCTAGGTAGGCATTCTAGTAGCGTAGTGTCTAAGGCATTTGTCTGCTAACTAGAAGACTGGCAGTTCAAACCCACCAGCCTCTCCTCAGAAGGAAGGTTGGGCAAATTACTTCCGTAGTGATACTGCCTCAGAAACCCAAGGAGGAATCCCTATGAGTAGGGTACGACTTGATGGCAAATAATAACAACAACACAACATCTCCTAGGCAGGGGAGGTTTAGCACAGCGATTTAGGTCCAAAGGATGCACTTCACCCCGGCCTTTTCTTTCTTGATGATAGAGATACCCCTTATGCCAATGAGATGGCTCATTTTAAGCCAGTGGGGTGGCAAAACTGACCAATCCCTATGTTAGGGTTCCATATACCTTATAATTTACACAGTTCCACCCACATAAAGGTGCTATGTACCTTATTTACATTTTTAACTAGCTATCCAATCCCCTTGGTGAGCTACAAGCATCTTATATTTGCATAATCCCACCAGTCATCTGGTGGGAGTCATAAAAACCATGGCTAAAAGGGTCATATTAAGTAATTCACTGAACTGAAATGTCACTTTAAGGACTAAGGTGCACCTAACGCAAGCCATGATATTTTCAATCACCTCATATGCATGCAAAAGCTGAACAATGAATATGCAAGACCAAAGATATGATGCCTTCGAATTACAGTGTTGGTGAAGAACATTGAATATACTTTGGACTGCAAGAAGAATGAAGAAATTTGTCTTGAAAGAAGTACAGTCATAATGTTCCTTAGAAAGGAGCATCTCAGGTACTTTGGACATGCTATCAGGAAGGACCAGTCCCTGGAGAAGGACATCATGCTTGGTAAAGTAGAGGGTCACCAAAAAAGATAAAGATCCTCAAAAAGATGGATTGAAACTGCCTATAACAGTGGAACCAAACATAAGAGTGATTGTAAGGATAGCACAGGACCATGCACTGCTTCATTCAGTAGTACTTAGGGTCGTTATGAGATGAACTGACTTGATGTCACTTAACAAAAACAACATCAATGTTAAATATGCCCAAACGCTATACTCACTCACTTTTGACAGATTCTGACCAAGACAGGAGGTATGGGGAGTTGAGGATGATATAAAGGGTACAGAGAAATGGAGAAATACTTGTGTTTGAATCATAGGTGACGTTTGTTGGTGGCATTTGGGTAGTTTGATAAGAAGTGAAATGGGCAGAAAAATAAGGTCTAAGTAAGAAGTAGGCAGACTAGTGCCACAAACAATAGATAAAAGTGTTACACTACACTTTAGATGATCTGGTTGGAAAATAAGTCACACAGAGGAGAGTAGACAGGGTCTATGAATAGCTAGACATTTCCTGGAAATGAAAAAATTGCTCTTCTACAAGCTTCTCTGTGTTAGAGATTAAACAAACAAAACAAATTATAGCACCTTTGCTCTATACTCTACTCTCATAGTTTCCCAGAGCTCAAATGTCCTATGTTCTAAGTCTCTGTTGATGCTCCCTCAATTTAAAATGTCTGTTACCTTCCCTAACTTCTAATTTTAAGAACTACTCACATATTAGCCCCACCCACTAGCCTCCAACAAAAACTCACTTCCTCTTTCTATGATCACTCAGCTCTTTTTTTTAGGGTAAAAGATAAATATTTCTGCCACTGTATTCTGTTATCTGAATTTCTTGTTATCTTCTCATTGTCACACCACACTGTTATAACTTTTCAGTAGTTGCTCAGTTTGTTTTTACCAAGTTGCAATTCAGTCATACTGAAAGCTCTAATCTTTGACTTCTTCATGCCTATTTCAACTATCCCCAAATGGTTCCCTTTCTCTCACATATTTGTTGGAGTGATGGCCCAAGTTAATGCTATGACAAAACGGGAGTGAACAGAACAAAGAAAAAATGACTCACTCAAGAGTAACAATAATGACATTGACCATTGTAAAGAATAGAAATCATATTCCATACAGAAATATCAATTTTTCACTAACTTATTTTTCTAGGCTTGTGGCAATGGTAGAAGTCTTAGGATACAGATGAATATGAAGTGGTTTTTGACTATATAAAAAACTGACTATATAAAATGCCATTTTAAGAGATAAGAAACATACAGAAATTACTAAAATAATACTCTTTAAAACATATAACACTTGGATAATATCCACAGAATAACCCTTTATAAATAAATATTAGGGTGCAAACAAATTTTAGAAAAAAATGAAACAGTTTCTGTGATTCCACATTGAGAGGCCAAAAGAGTCAATCAATAAAATAGGTTCTTATCAATAATCATTATCAATATTCAATTTTATCAATATGCATCAGTCAATCAATGGATTGTCTTATATATACCTAAGGATATATTGGGAGCTCTGGTAGCATAGTGCTAAGGCACTTGACTGCTAACCAGAAGGCTGGAGGTTCAAACCTATCAGCCACTCCTCGGGAGGAAGATGGGGCAATCCACTTCCAGAGTGATACTGCCTCGGAAACCCAAGGAGGGGTCGCTGAGTCGGGTCCGACTCAACAGCACACAACAACAACAACAACAACAGGATATATCAAGTAATATGAAAGATAAAATGAGATTTACACCCAGATTAAATGAGATTTCTATTTGGCAGCATGATGAAATTCCAGGGCATCTGTTTCAGTCATATGTACCTGCTGTACATGGTGAACATTTATTATCCAAGGTGACATTCTGCAAAGAGCTTAAGCATTACAAAACTTCAGCCTGTTACAATGGGGATTATTTTATCTACTGCAAAGAATTGTGAAAATTCACTTTAATAATGATTATAAAGTGCTTAGAACAAGGCTTGTTTCTAATTAGCCCTTATTAAATAGGTACAATTATGGTAACTACCATCATCATTATCCATATTATAGCATTATTAAGAGAATTAAGTAAGATGCTATACATTTAAGTGACTATATGACATAAACCAGGCATTCAAATGTTAACTACTTTCTTCCTACCATTTTGTAAAGCAGTGTTTACTCATTAGTCCATATGTGCACACGCGCACACACACAAACACAAAGCAAAAACATAGAATTCTTTCATGTTTACAGGTGACAAATGACAGTTATTGTAGGCAAGTAAAGAGTATTTAACGCAAAGAAGTAACACAAAGGAGTGAACAAAAGTAAAATGAAATAAAAATGTTAAGTAATTTTGTGTCATATTGTTTGAACGCAAATCAAGGTCAAGATAGTAAATACATTTATGTATTTATTTAAACCAAAACAAAACCCACTGCCGTTGAGTCAATTCTGACTCATAGCGACCCCTTTGGGTTTCCGAGGCAGTAAATCTTTAAAGAAGTAGATTGCCCAGTCTTCCTTCTGTGGAGTGGCTGGTGGGTTTGAACCACCAACCTTCCAGTTAGCAGTCAAATGCCTCAGGCACTACACCACCAGAGCTCCTTTAGATGAGTTTAGATAAAGACAACAAAAGTAATACAATTATAGTACGATACAGGAAGATGAACCTGGCAGTAGTTCACTGAATAGATAAGAACTGAAGCAGGGTGGGGAAAAGACCAAAGAAATACGAGGCAGAAGGCTGATCCACAATCCAGGAAAGAGATGACAAAACCCTAAACCAGAGTGTACAAAATGGGAGGGGAATAATGGAAGTGACAGATACATTGAAGGAAAAATATAAACATAGAGCTTGTAGACCAATACAACATGTATAAATAGGAGAAGAAGAAGATAGGGTAAAAAAAGGTAACATAAAAAGTTTAAAATGGGATGACAAATAAAATGGCAGGCAACACAGAAAAGGATGATTGGGAGGGAAGATGGAGTTCAGCAGAAATATTTTACAAGTGATAAAGAAGTGTACTTCATTACCTTGAGATTCTCTGGCTGTGGCCACCACCTCTCCTAATCATGTCTCTCAGGTTAAGAGTTTCATACTCCATGTATGTGGTTGCAGTCCAGGACTTCTGAATGGCATTGATGGCTTTCACAAAGTTGTGGTCATATTTGTAAAGCCTATCAGAATACCTGTCAACAAGAGTAAAATACTTTCAAATATACTCCTACTGATGTAAACAAACTAAAATCAAACTCACCACCACTGAGCAGATTCTGACTCATAGTGAACCTAAAGGACAGAATAGATCTGCCCTGTAAGGTTCCCAAGAATGTAAATCTTTACAGAAGCAGATTGCCATGTTTCTTCCACGGAGTGGCTGGTGGATTTGAACCACTGACCTTTTGATTGGCAGCTGAGAGCTGAGTGTCCATGTGATAACTGGGCTCCTCTGATGTAAACAGACTCCATTAAAATGGCACTGTTATACTAGGTGCTAAGCTGAAAGTAGTGTACCCTTTTAAGAAGGCAATTTTGCAATATATATCAAAAACCTTAATATATGTATACTCTCAAACACAGCAGTACTACTGGAATTAGAATGTTACCTATGAAAAACTCAAACTCGCTAAGATACATGTATAAGGCTATTCCATCCGTGGCACAATTTTTATACTAGCAATAGATTATAAACAATCACAATAAATGCTTAATAATAAGGGATTGATTAAATTAGTAATAGGACTTCATCTAGTATGTAGTCCATTCAAGAACAATGTTTAGAAGATTATTTAGTGATGTGCAAAACAGTTCATATTATATTAACTAAAAAGCAGGAAATAAAAAAAAATGTTTATAGAGAATTAACAAGTTTTTATAAAAGTATATATATTTACAGTATAAATACATTTAAAAATGCCAACTATTGTTATTGCTGAGTGGTGGCATGAAACCACCATCTTTTTGTCTCCCCTAAAAGTTCTCCAAAGTACCTTTATAAAATCTGTAGTAAGTAAAAAAAACGAGAGGACAAGAAATTGTATACATTGTATATATAACACAGTAAGGATTATAACTACAAAATGAAGTATTCTAAATGGATGTTTGGTTTACACTATTATTACTCAAAATTTGATTCTTGGATAAGTAACATCAGCAGTTTGACAGACATGCAGGTTCTAAGTATCCAGCACCGAGCACCTGAATCACATTCTGCCTTTTAACAAGCTCCCCAGATGACTCACATGAACAGTAAAGTTTGAGAAGCACTGGTTTACCGATGCCTAATTCAAATGCAGATGTAAATAAATTGAATATATAAAAAGGATTTTTTTCAAAGGAAAAAATTGAAGGACTTGTTTATTCACTTAATTCAAACATTTATTACACCTATGTGCCAGATGCTAGGAATTATGAAATTCACAATATTAATCCTATTATAAGATGCACTGGACTTTGTTTTAAGAGCTCTGGTAGCGTAGTGCCTCCAGTTGTGGTTATATTTATAAAGCTTATTAGAATACCTGTCAACAAAAATAAAATAGTTTCAAATATACTCCTACTGAGGTAAACAAACTAAAACAGAGGGCTGGTGGTTCAAACCCATCAGCCACTCCTCAGAAGGAAGGTTGGGCAATCTACTTCCTTAGTGATACCGCCTCAGAAACCCAAGGAGGGGTTGCTATGAGTTGGTCCGACTTGATGGCACATAACAACAACAACAATTTGTATAACAAGTTTACCAATCCTTTGCAAAGTACATAAAATAGATCTATCACAGGACAGACAGCAGCCTAAGGCCAGATAAAAAGTACCGAACTATAAAATTGTTTACAGGTTACCCCAAAATTGTCAATCAATCTGGACAAAAGCTCCCCCACCCCAGTTGCTTCTCCAAAGAATTAGGGCAAATTCCTCAGGTCTGGCCATGGGGGGACTGTGTGGGGGGGATTTTCCCAAGCTGTTTTTCCAAAGAACTATCTATGAGTCAGGTTCGACTCGACGGCACACGGCAACAATTATCCAAGAGTTCCATTAACATTAAGTCGTGCAAAGCATAATATACCTGGCCTGAGTAACATTTTAGGTATATTGTGACCTCTTCTTTCTCTTTTTTAATTCAGAAGTTTGTAAAGAGAGTATTTTGATATAGTCAAAGAACTTGGGAACACTAAAAAAAATATGCAACCATGTTGATATTTTTTTAATCAGAGTTCTTTCCCCCTTGCTGAAAAATGTGAAACCAGTTGTTTTATGTTATGTGCCATCATGTTGTCTCCAACTCATAGCAACTTTATGTACAACAGAACAAAACACTGCCTGGTACTGTGACAGCCTCATGATGCCTACTATACTTGAGCCCATCGCTGCAGCCACCATGTCAATCCATCTTGTTGAAGGCCTTCCCCTCTTTCGTTGACCCTCCACTTTACCAAGCATGGCATCCTTCTCCAGAGAATGGTCCCTTCTGAACACATGATCAAAGTAGATGAGACAAAGTCTTCCCATTCTCGCTTCCAAGGAGCATTCTGGCTGCACTTCTTCCAGGACAGATTTGTTAGTTCTCTTAGCAGTCCAGGGTACTTTTAAGATTCTTTATCAACACCACAACTCAAAAGCATCAACTCTTCTTCTGTCTTCATTTTTCATTGTCTAACTCTCACACGCATGAGGCAATTGAAAATACCATGGTTTTGGTTAAGCACCTCTTAGTCTTCAGGGAGGTACCTTTGCTCTTCAGCACTTGAAAGAGATCTTTTGCAACAGATTTGTCTAATGCTATGTCTTTTGATGTCTTTGCTGCTTCCATTGGCGTTGATTGTAGAAGCAAGTAATATGAAGTCTTTGACAACTTCAATCTTTTCTGCATCTATCATGATGCTGCTTATTGGTCCAGTTGTGAAGATTTTTGTTTTCTTTACATTGAGGTGTAATCCATACTGCAGACTGTAGTCTTTAATCTTCATCAGTAAGTGCTCCAAGTCATCCTCAGTTTCAGCAAGCAAAGTTGTTTCATCTGCGTATCTGAGGTTGTTAATGAGTCTTCCACCAATCCCAATGCCACATTCTTCTTCATATAGTCCAGTTTCTCAGGTTATTTGTTCAGCTTACAGACTGAATACATATGGTGAAAGGACACAGCCCTGATGCACTCCCTTCTTGATTGCAAATCATGCAGTGTCTCCTTGTTCTGTTCGAATGACAGCCTCCTGATCTATGTACAGGTTCTTCATGAGTACAATTAAGTGTTCTGGAATTCCCATTTTTCTCAATGTTATCCACAATTTATCATGATCCACACAATCAAATGTGTTTGCAAACTCAATACAACACAAGTAAACAGCTTTCTGGTATTCTTTGCTTTGAGCCAATATCCATCTGACACCAGCTATGATATCCCTCGCTCCACCTCTCCTTCTGAATTCAACTTGCATTTCTGAAAGTTCTCTGTCAATATACTGCTGCAACCGTTTTTGAATTATCTTCAGTAAGATTTTACTTACATGTGATAGCAATGATATTGTTCGATAATTTCCACATTCTGTGGGATCTCCTTTCTTTGGAATGGGTACAAATATGGATCTCTTCCAGTCACTTGGCCAGGTAGCTGTCTTCCAAGTCTCTTGGCATAGCAGAATGAGGGCTGCCAGGGCAGCATCCTTTTGTTGAAATATCTCAATGGGTATTCCATCAATTCCTGGAGCCTTATTTTTTGCCAATTCCCTCAGTGCAGCTTTGACTTCTTCCTTCAATACCAGTGGTTCTAGATCATATGCCACCTCCTTAAACAGATTATCATGTACCAATTTTTTTTGGTATAGTGATTCTGTGTATTCTTTCCATCTTCTTTTGATGTTTCCTGCATCAATAAACATAATGCCCATGGAATCTTTCAATATTTCAATTTGAGGCTTAAATTTTTTCCTCAATTCTTTCAGCTTGAGAAATGCTGAGCATGTTCTTCCGTTTTGGTTTTCTAACTCCATGTCTTTGCATATTTCATTATAATAATTGACTCTGTCTTCTCAAGCTGCTCTTTGAAATCTTCTGTTGAGCTCTTTTATCCTGTCAATTCTTCCATCCGCTTTAGCTACTCTCCATTCAACGGCAAGTTTTAGAGCCTCTTCTGATATCCATTTCGGTCTTTTCTTCCTTTCTCATATTTTTAATGTGTTTGACTTCTTTGTGGATGATGTTCTTGATGTCATCCCATAATTCTTCTGGTTTTCGGTCATTGGTGTTGAATGAATCACATCTATTCTTTACATGGTCTGTAAATTCAGGAGAGATATAACAAGGTTATATTTTGGCTCTTGTGCACTTCTCTTAATTGTCTTCAGCTTCAAATTGAACTTGCATATGAGCAGTTGATGGTCCATTTCACAGTCAGCTCCTGGCCTTGTTTTGGCTGAATATATTGAGCTTCTTCATCACATCTTGCCCCAGATGTAGTCAATCTGATTCCCATGTTCTCCATCTGGTGAAGTCCATATGTATAGCCTCCGTTTATGTTGTTGAAAAAGGTATTTGCAATGAATAAATCATTGGTTTTGCAAAATTCTATCATGCGATCTCCAGTGTCATTTCTATCACTAAGGCCATATTTTCCAACTACTGGTGACTCTTCCTTGTTTCCAACTTTTGCATTCCAATCACTAGTGATAATTAACACATCTTGGTTGCATGTTCAATCAATTTCAGAGTGTAGAAGTTGGTGAAACCAGAGCAGTCTCTTTATTAAATAGACTATAAAACTGCCTATATCATACTTATAACTACACTAACACAACAAAAACAAGTTACAGTTGTTTGTTTCTTTAGGTATAATAGTATATTTTATATTATAAATGTTTACCTTGCAATATCTCACTGATGAGAATCACTATTTCATTGACTGACTTTGAGAAGCAGCATTAACCAATCCCTCTTAACTTGCTTAATTGTAACATCTGGGAAAACATTATATGCTTTACCTTAATGACAAGATGCCACCAGAGGTCTTAAACACTATTAATTTTAGCAGAACCAAAGAGATTCAGAATAATGTAACTTACTGTGGAAGAACAAATTATTAAGAGCTGAAAAATAGCCTGAAGATAAGTTAGTCTCATGTGTTCATTTTACAGATGAGGCAAGGCAGGTCTGAGCACTCTAGTTAGTAGTGTCTTCTCTAAATTAGACAGAATGTGAA